TGCACTGTTTTATTATTGTTGTATGTAATACTTGCAATACCTCTGAAGCAACTTACAATTAGGGATGGGTATCGTTAAGGTTTTAACGGTATTACTACTCTTACCGATACTGCTTATGGATTCGGTACTTTAACGGTATTCTTATCGGTACTTTTTGTTTTATATATATATATATATGACAAATTAAGAGCTGAATTAACATTGCTTTATATTCTGAAATGTAAGATAAATATTTAATGAAATGAATATAAAACATCAATTTGTAAATGCACCAGTGTGCAGGCATTTTTAGTGTTTTATACATAAGATAAGATACAGTAAGAACATGAACAAAGAAACAAAGTAAAACAAACTGACAAATACAATAAAATAAATATACAAATGAAATGAAATAAACAGTGCTGTCATTTTTCCATGAAGTTCTACTAACATTACTGTTCAGGTAAGTAATAGCCTACAAAAGAAATCTAAAAGTAATCAAATGTAAATGAACACTGCATAGTTTTCAGTGTATGTATTGATAGATTAATGCTTATTAAAGCTATAACGTTATTCAGATTAAGAGCAGATTTGCATTTTGATGGCCCAAGTGCCAGTCTGTCACTTTAAGACAATATATTGACACACATCGGATTTTCTCCCAACTGTTCTCCTCCACTTAAGACATAAACTGTGTTTAAGTAAATACTCTCCAAGCCGGCCATTTTGACATATTTTTGTGTGTATTTGATCGATTGGACATGCACCCGAAGCTCTAAGTGTAATTTGTTTGTCCGTTTTGGAGCGCGCCGCGCGCACACATTTCAGCCTGAGGAACAGTGTCTCTTGTGCGGATTGTGCTTTCAACATTTTATTATCAAACATGTCCCGCAATTTAGCAACAGTAAAGACGGCATCTTACAACAATCACCGATTGAGCTGATTCTGACGTTAAGTTTGGGTTTTAGGGAGGAACGAATGCGCACCGCTGTGACGGGAAAGAAGTTGCGCAATACGAAACGCAGCTAGTTTTTAATAGCTTTACCTCATGTCTTCTTTTGTATAATCCTTAGAAGCCAAAATCGAAATAAAAAAATAAAATTAGCTTAATAAAACTGCCACAGGCCTAAAGTGTAAGCAGATGTTTGAATGTTTAGTTCTCTCTTCTATCATAATTAAACAGGGCTTTCATGTTGCGCGTGCTGAAGCTCCTCCGTGTGGGCGCGATCTTGCTTCTGAATTGCGAATAGCAAAAATGCATCATAGACAAATGTTTGAAAAACAGCTGGCGACTCTGGTGAGATAGAATTTGAAAGATAATGTATATATGGCAATAATAAATGTATGTGTGTTTTATTAATTGTTCCAGTACCGATAGCAGAACCGTTAACGTCAGAGCTTATCGATACTCCGGTCTTTCATAATTTAGCCCCGGGACCGATTAAATACCGGGTTTCGGTACCCATCCCTAGGTTATTCACTTGTCAAAATAATCAGATTACTTGATTAGCAAAATAATCATTAGTTAAGCACTAGATTAGTTAAAACATTTCAAAATACAACTGCATTGTTTTACTTTTTGTGATTAAAAGACAAATATTTTGTCATTTGAAAATTTCTTAAAGTATTAAAACATTGTCTCGTTCTAGTGAACCAAGTATCTGCATTTTGTCTCACCTTGTGAGCTAAGTGTATTGTCACACCCCTAGTGTCTATGAGTGTGATAAAGCTCATAATTTTCCAAGTGTATGATATAGCTTTCATTCTTCAAGTCAATCATATATTCATGCAAAAAAAAAAATCAGTTTGAATAAGCGATAACTTTGCCATAGTATCCTTTCAAATGTTAAAGTTGCCACAGTCATTGCATTCTTTGCATGTGCTGCACTTTATTTGTACCATTTTGTTTTATTAGTTTATTTATTAGAATTTGAAAGATAACAACATTGATTGATAAGTGAGATCTGATTTTAGTCCTTGAAAACCAAAAAAGTAGTGCAAGTCCTTGAAAGTCCTGGAATTTTATTTTGCAGTATCTGTACGAACCCTGTTTAAGTTACCAGTTCTTGGACCATTTTAATGATTAAAGTAGTGCAAGTCCTTGAAAGTCCTGGAATTTTATTTTGCAGTATCTGTACGAACCCTGTTTAAGTTACCAGATCTTGGACCATTTTAATGTTTTTGTTGTTGTTAATTGAACTGAACTGTAGTTTTCTGTAGTAAACTGTCTTTGTATATTTCCTATTTTATATTATTTTCCTAGTATTTAATTTAATATTATTTATTTTGAACTGAACAATTTCAGAAATGTCATGTTTTAGATTGTAGGTCATCTTGTGCCGTCAAGGACAAAGCTAACCAGCAAAACTTGATATCAAAAGCATCCTAAATGTTACATGTGTTTGCACCATATTGTAGTGAGTAAACATTCTTGGTATTGCTGTTTCAAATATCCCACCATAATCTGTAGTCTGAGCTTGTCAATGGCTAATGGCAATGGCAGATACGTTACTAGTTTCTTTTTTTGTTTGCCAAATAACCCTGTGTATGTGTCCGCCCCCGCAACCCCCGGAAAAAAGTTCTAAACTATTTTTGCAAAGCAGTTTTAAAACTTTTTAATCAGCTTCCTCTTAGTTCATTTACAAAACAAATGACCGTAAATAACATAAAGGGTGTGCAATGCAACAGAGAGAAAGCGGCTTCTGTGCGTCTCACTTCATTTGTTGTCTTGTTATTCACTGGTTGGCTGCTCCACACTTTTTTTATTTTTATTTTTTTTTTTTAAAGCACCTAACTATTTGGAAAGAAAGTGGTGATGTGATATGCAGCTAATGTGATCAAATGACCTAGTTCTGCTTTTTTTGGGGTTGGTAGTATTTCTTGCAAATGTTTTTGAAAGAAGTCGCTTATGCTCACCAAGGCTGCTTTTATTTGATGAAGTAAAAGTAAAAACTGTAATGCTATGAAATATTACAATTTTAAATAACTTTTTTCTATTTTAATATATTTTAAAATGTAATTTATTCCTGTGGTGGCAATTTTTGATCAATTTAATGCAAGTATTCATTTTAAATTTTGCTGGCCTCCCTCTCTTTAAAGATTATTTTTTTTAGTTTAGTCACTCAATGGGCTAAAATTGTCTCAGGAATAAAGAGAACATCATCTATTTCCAAGGTAATGGCAACTGAAAGCTACTCTTGTACAACAGAACCTTTGATCGGAATTTAGGCAAAAAGTTACATTTGTAAAACAGGTATCTGTATACTTGAGAGAGCATTATCAGAAAAGACTAGGAAGATTAGGAAAGCCTTGGGGTCATAAAGAATCATCAAGAGATCAAGGAAATTTGCTTGATGGGAATTTCTTGTGGCTCAGAAGATAAACTGAAAATAAATTGGTCATTGCATCTCATGCTCTCTTTGTCTTTAATTATTTCTCTCAGAAGAGGAGGGCAGGCCCCAGCGCCGCAATAGAAGCCGCCGCCGTCGTAACCGTGGCAATCGTCCTGAGGGAGGCTCCACCAGCCCTGACAGACAGCCAAGTGAGAGAGTGGGGAGGGGTCAAAGATGTAGGAGCAAAACTGACAGGAGGGGACTACAGAGAGAGAAATGTCAAGTTGAAGATTTATTTAAACTTTTAAGGCTATTTTCCTCTTTGTTGTTCAGCTTTAGTAGAGAGTGACAGGAAGTAATTGTTGAGAGAGAAGGGACTGGGTGGGATTGTTGCTGACCAGATCTAAACTAGCAAAAAACTAGATTGTAATTGGTGATATTTGCAGATTTGGTTGGCTTTTTTGTGATGTTAATTTCACAGTCATGGCCTACAGAAGGTGTGAGATATAAATGCAACTTAAAGAGTTTGCTGTAGGTAATTGGATTACTTCGCTTGTTTGATCACTTGCTGCTTTTTCCCCCTCAACCTGACAACTGTTGCTCTCTCTGTTGATATAGTTACTGTTGCTGACTTCATCTCTCGTGCCGATTCCCAGAGCAGACAGAATCTCCCAGGGAAGGAGGAGGTGACACAGCACATGTCCCACCCCAAGGTCTACAAATACAACAACACAAAACACACGCCTCAGATTAAGACTGCACAATTTGGGGAGAAATTTAATTGTGATTTTATTTAATATTTTTAAATATATAAATATATATGTATTATTTTAGATTTATATATTATTATATAGATTTTATTATTATTATTTTTATAATTGTTGAGAGGAAAAAAAGCTTCAGGCTTTAAGCCCCGTTCACACCAAGAACGATAACTATAAAGATAACGATATTATCGTCCACACCAGCGAACAATATGTCTGTTTATTCTGAGTGCATGCTCGTCCGCCGCAGGGTTGCCAGGTTTTCACAAGAAAACCCACCCGATCGCTACTCAAAACTAGCCCAGTTGCGTTTCGAGGGGGTCCCCAGTTAAAAATCGCATTCCGGAGGGTAAAATACAAGTTTTTTGGTGGGGTTCCCCTACTAAAATTAGCATTCCAGGGGATAAATATCATGTTATTGGAGTCGCTTCAACCCGCGGACATGAAAAACAACCCACAGCAACAGTGTTAAAGTAGTCCAATTGCGGGAAAACCGCGGACTTGGCAGCACTGGTCTGCCGCTTTAAATTCTCGAGCTCGTTACAGCAGGATGGATTCTGATTGGCTGTCAATTTTTTATCATTCATCAGCTGGAAAAAAGTCATTTTGAAAGTGATTCCAACGATATCGTTTCTCTTGGTCTTTATCGTTATAGTTGTGGTGTGGACTCTGCTATTCTTTAATATTGAGAACGATTTTTAGAACTATATCTTTATCGTTATCTTTATAGTTATCGTCCTTGGTGTGAACGGGCCTTTAGAGCCGCACAATTCGGCCAAAATTTTGTCATTTATTTATCAATGAGACTATGAAATAATAATAATTAGGTTTTTTTTTTTCTTAATATTAATATTTAAATATTTATACTTGCATATACACTGAACAAAATTATAAACGCAACACTTTTGTTTTTGCCCCCATTTTTCATGAGCTGAACTCAAAGATCTAAGACTTTTTCTATGTACACAAAAGGCCTATTTCTCTCAAATATTGTTCACAAATCTGTCTAAATCTGTGTTAGTGAGCACTTCTCCTTTGCCAAGATAATCCATCCACCTCACAGGTGAGGCATATCAAGATGCTGATTAGACAGCATAATTATTGCACAGGTGTGCCTTAGGCTGGCCACAATAAAAGGCCACTCTAAAATGTACAGTTTTATCACACAGCACAATGCTACAGATGTCGCAAGTTTTGAGGGAGCATGCAATTGGCATGCTGACTGCAGGAATGTCCACCAGAGCTATTGCCCGTGAATTGAATGTTCATTTCTCTACCATAAGCCGTCTCCAAAGGCGTTTCAGAGAATTTGGCAGTACATCCAACCGGCCTCACAACCGCAGACCACGTGTAACCACACCAGCCCAGGACCTCCACATCCAGCATCTTCACCTCCAAGATCGTCTGAGACCAGCCACCCGGACAGCTGCTGCAACAATCGGTTTGCATAACCAAAGAATTTCTGCACAAACTGTCAGAAACCGTCTCAGGGAAGCTCATCTGCATGCTCGTCGTCCTCATCGGGGTCTCGACCTGACTGCAGTTCGTCGTCGTAACCGACTTGAGTGGGCAAATGCTCACATTCGATGGCGTCTGGCACTTTGGAGAGGTGTTCTCTTCACGGATGAATCCCGGTTTTCACTGTACAGGGCAGATGGCAGACAGCGTGTATGGCGTCGTGTGGGTGAGCGGTTTGCTGATGTCAACGTTGTGGATCGAGTGGCCCATGGTGGCGGTGGGGTTATGGTATGGGCAGGCGTATGTTATGGACAACGAACACAGGTGCATTTTATTGATGGCATTTTGAATGCACAGAGATACCGTGACGAGATCCTGAGGCCCATTGTTGTGCCATTCATCCACGACCATCACCTCATGTTGCAGCATGATAATGCACGGCCCCATGTTGCAAGGATCTGTACACAATTCCTGGAAGCTGAAAACATCCCAGTTCTTGCATGGCCAGCATACTCACCGGACATGTCACCCATTGAGCATGTTTGGGATGCTCTGGATCGGCGTATACGACAGCGTGTTCCAGTTCCTGCCAATATCCAGCAACTTCGCACAGCCATTGAAGAGGAGTGGACCAACATTCCACAGGCCACAATCAACAACCTGATCAACTCTATGCGAAGGAGATGTGTTGCACTGCGTGAGGCAAATGGTGGTCACACCAGATACTGACTGGTTTTCGGACCCCCCCGGACCCCCCAATACAGTAAAACTGCACATTTTAGAGTGGCCTTTTATTGTGGCCAGCCTAAGGCACACCTGTGCAATAATCATGCTGTCTAATCAGCATCTTGATATGCCACACCTGTGAGGTGGATGGATTATCTCGGCAAAGGAGAAGTGCTCACTAACACAGATTTAGACAGATTTGTGAACAATATTTGAGAGAAATAGGCCTTTTGTGTACATAGAAAAAGTCTTAGATCTTTGAGTTCAGCTCATGAAAAATGGGGGCAAAAACAAAAGTGTTGCGTTTATAATTTTGTTCAGTATATTTCAGCCACCCTGACTGCAAATAATAGAAAAATGTCATACAAAGGCAGTTGCGATTTGTAGAGTTCATCCTCAGGGTTCAGGTGACAATAAATCATGAGATAAACTTGCCTTCTGATGTGTAGAAAATGAAAGCACAGAAACTGAGATTAAAATTAGACCAGGATTTGTGATGTGGATGTTGTGTCTAATTGAATATTCCCCCCTTGGATGCTCTTTGTGTCTGGCATGTGAACTAGAGGGGACGTTTCAATATATAGCTACCAAAGCCTGCAGCAATAACTATATCTAGGTTGAAAGCACCCTCCTCCACACACTCACACAGAACACCCACATGCACACATACACACACGCACACACACACAAGCACGCGCGCACACACACACACACACACACACACACACACATAAAGACATTTCTTTATTTAGACTATAATTAATCAGTTATA